TTTCAATTAAACAGTATAATACAATATACAGTATTACACCCGCCTAACGGTGTTTCACTTAGCGCGTTTTATCATATATGCGGTGCCTCGCCAGAGCTGAACTTTCACTTAACACGGATTTATTCATCATATACGCGGTGAGTGTCCGGCTCGAGACGCTATTTTTAGATTTGCCCCACGCGCCACCCGCCCGCCTGCCTGCCTGCCTCTCCCTCCGCTTGGGCAAGCGGCGCGGTAAGGTTGCGCAGTGTGTGTCTTTGTTGCGTTATCACTGACGTCATATGACGTATCAGACCTGTGATTGGCCATGCATCCCTACCCCCCTCTGCTGCTAGCTGTAATTGGCTTAAAGTATTATGACGTGACCACCCGGGGAGGGAGGGAGGGAGGAGAGACGATGCTTGACCTAGCCGCGGCAGTTTCATCCCTCAAGGCCACACCGTGTAAACGCGCATCCATTGTTCCGTAAAATGGCTTCCGCCGGACCACCACCGCCACCAGAGAGAGACCTTTCCTTACCTGGACCCAGCGGCACTAAGCCAAAGAAGACACGACGTTCCTTAAGCTACGAGGTGAAGTACCAAATTGTTCAAGATTTGGAGAAAGGAACACGGCAAGTTGATCTCGCGCGCCAGCATGGCGTCAACGAATCTACGATTCGCACGATCAAGAAGGATGCAGCCAAGATCAAAGAGCACATGAAAATCACAAAGTCTGCAGGTGCTTCATCTATCAGGTATTGCCAGAACAGGGTGCTGGCAGGTATTGCCAGAACAGGGTGCTGGCAAAAGTGGAAAATTTGCTGGTGTTATTTGGTTCGTCAGGCGCGACGCAACATGGCGGTGGACACGCGCTCAGTGCAGGAGTACGCACGTGAGCTATACGCAGCAGTGTCACGTAAGCTGGGAATTGCAGAGCCCAAACCCTTCAATGCTTCCTCTGGTTGGCTGCATAGGTTTAAGAAGAGGAACAAGATCACCAACATCAACATTGGTGGTGAGGAAGCGAGTGCTGACCGTGTGGCGGCTAGAGATTTTCCTCCGTTCTTACTATACAGTGACGACCAGGTGTTTAACATGGACGAATCTGGTCTTTTCTGGAAAAAGTTACCTTCCAAGACCTTCGTTGTCCAGTCTGCCAGCAAGGTAAGGGGTCGGAAGTTGCAGAAGGAACGCATCACCGTCCTGTTTACCACCAATGCCTCCGGTACCTGTAAACCAAAGTTATCGGTGATTCACACAGCCCGCAAGCCGCACGCCTACAAGAATATGGACATGAACAAGCTTAATGTCCACTGGCTAACCGCACGTAAGGCGTGGATGTCCTCTTCTCTGTCCCTCTTCTGGTTTGACAACTGTTTTGTTCCCGACGTGAAGAAATTCTGCGAGCAACAGAATGTTTCATTCAATATTTTGTTGCTCCTTGACAACGCACCTGGACACTCGCCCCTACTTATGGATCGTCACCCCAACGTAAAAGTGGTCTTCCTTCCTCCCAACACTACGTCATTAATCCAGCCCATGGACCAGGAGTTGATCTGCAATGTGAAAGCTGCGTACTCTGCAAAGAAGTTCAAGCTCCTGAACGACTCTACCAACACCAAGGATGAGTTGCGTAAGCTGGGTGACACCGACAGCGAGAGCAAAAGCGACGAGGACAAGGAACAAGAGGCGGTGACTCAAGAACTTCTCGTCAAACAATTTTGGAAGAAGTTTAACGTTAAACAAGCTGTAGACTTCTTGGTGGAGGCATGGGATCTGCTGACTATTGCTACGATTCGTCACGCATGGAGACATGTGTTGCATGGCATACCAGGTGAGAGGAGGAGTGAACCTGTGACTGGTCAGGTTCAGACTGTTGCAGTAGCAGTGGACCTTGCCAGAGAAGCTGCGCTCAATATTACAGCTGAAGGCTTCTCCGAGACCACCAACGAAGACATCCTGGAGGTGATCAAAGATCCTGAAGTGACTGCCGACGAGATGTTGGAAGAAGAACACGCCAGTGAAGAGGAGGAAGAAGGTGTGTCATTCTCCGAAGAACCTAGTTTAAGTCATAGTGATATTAAGTGTGCCATAGAGTTTGCAGAGAAAATTAAGTCCGTCCTTTCCCGCGACAATGACGATGACCGCTATGAAGTCTTCCATACCCAGCTGGTGCAGGCTATGGAGCCGTACATCACGGTGTATCATGACAACATAAACACCAGCCGTCAAAAAAGCATAACCGAGTTCTTCGCCCGCAACCCACCACAGCCAGCCCAAGCCAGTGATAGTGACAGTGAAGTTGACTTTGAGGGATTTGTCAGGGAAGCCCTGACAACTGTAAGTGACAGTGATGGTGATTCACCTAGTAATGGTGATTCACCTGAGGGCCAGTAATCTGCCCTCTGCCTCGGAACCAGCCTCCATCCCCGTATGCCGACCCATCTCTTCTACTACCGTAAGTGTTCCACCTAACTTTTAGTTTCTCTAACTTAACCTTCATTTTTCCTATGTTAACCTTTATCTTTCCTAACCTAACCTCTTCTATATTACTTGTTTTTTCATACCATCATAAAGTTAAGATAAAATTTTTACTACAACATAGTTATGTGTCGTCAAAAAGTGGAGTTTGGGGGTCGGGCTGGTTTCTATTGGAATTAATCCCATATGTTCTGTTGTTCACTTAACGCGGATTTCACTTAACACGGGACCCTCTGGGTTCAATTGACCGCGTTAAGTGGGGTACAACTGTACTGTACATTACGCCCGGATAATTCGCAGTCCTCTATTATTTGACACCCTGGATGTTCCCAAGAAGGTCTGCGGGTAGTTTTAAACTTGCCGACATTTTCGCTGCCAGGACAGGGGGCCATTCATTCTAGAGACAGTAATTTCCTTTACCTGTATTGTATATATGTATGTGTAGACACACACACAAAATACATATAGATAAATATTAATGGAAAAATCCTCTCACAATTAATCAGAAACAATTGTAGTGTTAAAAATGTTGAGTCTACCCTCAAATCTACTCCATATGCTAAGAAAGAATGGGGGTACAGGTACAATATGCACATTAGGCTTATGTACTCAAATTATAAATGACATCGGAAGCATTTTTGTTCTAGGCAGAGGCTAAACGTACAGATAAATATCATCTCGTCTCTCATGATGGACGAGAATTGAATGATTCTTGAGAACCTCACCAAACTTGGAGCAAGAGATGTGATGTACGCAATTTCCCAGCCATCACGAAAGACAACGGGATGAGCTATGTCCACACAATTTGCCACAGTGCTTTTTCTATACCTTGTTCTTTGTTGTCAATCTTTCATTAATATTGGAAGAAAATTATAAGCTGTTCTGTTTCTATTTTCCAAGACTTCTATTTCAATATAATTTCCCTAACTTATCCTGACTCAATAATCACATCTATTTTTTGGTTATGATAAAACTTGGATGGTTGAAACTGGATTGCAGTCATACATACCAAAATACCTGCACTTTTCACACATGTTTACATTAATGATGGAATTTTACATTAATAAGTAAGTCTGCCCTCGTTAAGAATTTGGTAAATTACTGGTACAGTACAGTACTGTACTGAAGAACAGGGAAAAGAATTCTTAAGTGTATATGGATTGTTTTTTAAAAAGTTTAATAATGATAAGATACCCGCCGCCGTGTTATTTGTTTTGATGTTTATTTTCTTACTATGTTTTCATCAGTGAGTTCTGATACGATATTAATTTCTTGGGCAAATGCTTCATTTGGTAGAAAATTAGGGAGCCACGAATTACCCAAATGTACCCAAAAGTATAGCAAATAAGGGTAAAATCTTAACGAATATCTGTTATACATACACAAAACATGTTTAATAATATTTTTGGTGTAATTTTGTAAAAATAATTTGTAAGATGAAATAATAAACAGCGAAAAACTTTCAGTATTGGACTAACGCTAAATTCCAAAGAGTTCGTTAACAAGAGAGATAACTCAGATCCATCGTGATGCACTTCGCTAACCTAACCTAACCTAATGAAAAGTAAATCCTACGGCTATGTTAAATACCCCAAAGTAACAGAAACATCGGTAATTATATCTCCATTTTGGATAGGTGATTCTTTGGAATTTAGCGTTTTTTGCTGTTTATATTTCATTATTTTGACTACATTTCAATGAAAACATTATTAATCAAGTTTTATTGATGTAAAACATATATTCATTAAGATTTTACAAATTTAATTTACTTTTGGGTACTTTTGGGTAATTCGTTGACCGGAAAATTATGCCCCTAGGTTCGTAGTAGAGGCACACTTTGATTTTGTCCTACGTTCAGTGTATGTTTGTGAGCTGCTCGGACTGGGTGGCTTCTCTCACGTCCACAAAAATACATAAAATTACATCAAATCATAGTGAGGTCTTTCTGTTTAATAACCTGGGAGTCCATGGGAGCAGAGCTAGGAAGTTGGGTTTCTTTGGTTAGGTCTTTTAACAATGCTTCTGCTGCTTGTTTTTCTTATTAACTTCGAAATAAACCACTTTTTAACACATCTGCCCAAACAACAACAGTGTCCACTACAAAACAGTGAAAAAGCGGCTTTTTTTAAATAATTTTTAGAAAAATCGGCGGCGTGTATCCTGTCAATAAATACCTTGAAAAATATTGATATTTGTATCGTGATCTATCAAAAATGTACTGTACTGCTAAACTGTAAAAATAAGGCTAAATGAAGTACTGCATACACTCCACATAAACATTCTTGTCCAATTTATAGGTTATTGTTTTGGTCATGCAACGAATTTTAGGGTTTTAAGGTTAGGTTGAAATTATGTTTTTCCAATGGTTTTTTGATGTGTTTTGAACGATACTGACCTACTTCAAAATCGGTACATGACCGAAATGATAGTTTTACCCTTTACAGTAATAATAAAGGTAATTATTGACGACTGACCCGTGGCCGAGTAGTCAATATTAACCATAATAAATCTTGTTACGAAGATAAATGGTTTACTTACCTGTTTGTGTGCACTGACTAAATCACTGATCTTGACAGCGGAGTCCGCATCAGTCTTGGATTGTATAAAGCTATTAATAAGTGACAATCTCATCACACGTTGTACATCACTGTCCAATTCAGGTTCTCGCACAGGCCGTACTCCTCCTGGTGTTGGCAGGTCTTGTGTAGCATCAACGGTGTGGTAGGGTGGTAATGGAACACCTCCAGGGGAATGTGGGTGTCCTACACCACCAGAACCAGGCGGAGGAAGAGGAACTCCCACATTCTCCCCGAGAGGCACCACCACCGTGTCTATCTGTCCAGGGTGTACAGGACCAAAGTTTGATCCTAGGTGAACACTGCCTGGAGCTGGTGGAGGCAAGGGCACCCCAACACCAGGCGTCTGCTGGAAAGGAATAGGGCCACCGAATGCAATGCCAGGCGTCTGTTGGGTGGGTAGAGGCACTCCGACTCCAACGCCAGGCGTTTGTTGGGGAGGTAGAGGCACTCCGTGTCCAAAGCCAGGCGACTGCTGAGAGGAAATAGGTACTCCATGGTGCTGCGTCGGGGCCTGGTGGGGCGGAAGGCTTGGTAGGGGCACTCCTACATTATGCTGTTGCGCGTTGTTAAAGTCAATAATACACGCCCACACCAACAGTACGAACTTGACACTCCACCACATAACTGCGAGAGCTCCAGGAATAGCTCCGCTCAACACAGACGTGTGGGGAGAACTGACACTCAGCCAACGTGTTTCACTCAGCCTCCCTCACTCAGCCTCCGCCCAGATGTTTTGGTCATCAGCTGACTCACGCCGCCTCCTGCCACTACACGATGATTACAACTTATGCTCCTTTTGTTTTCATTAAAATTTCCTTTATTTTCTGTTGTTTATTAGCTAAAACATCTGCTTACAAATATAATGTTATTAATACAAAAGATATATTGGTAAGTTTTCAGAGGTAAAATTTAATAACAAATAATAACTGGCAATTATTCGTGACGCAACCAGTTAGACCTTGAAAACTCACCTGAGAACGTGGAAGTGGCGAGCTGAACTATGACGTTTTACTACTAGTGACACACATTATCTGTTGTTATTGTAGTTATAGTTCAGTCTCTTTCTCCCATACCGAAAGGCGAGATAGACTAATATCAAACGTGTACTGTCAAGTGAAATTGATTCAATACATTCTCAATGTCGTTTGTCTCAGCCAACATCGATTTAATGTTACTGGAGACAGTTTAATCCAATAACGTTTATTTTTATTATATATATATATATATATATATATATATATATATATATATATATATATATATATATATATATATATATATATATATATATATATATATATTGTCGTTTTTCCGTCGTCGAATAGTGAAACTATAATTAATGGAAAATAGTTTTATGTTACAGTATTATCTCCTGTTTCATATAAGTTATATGAATGATGCCTTATATGATATAAGGCATCATTTACTGACAATATAACAAGCAAATTGTAACTAAATTGAATTAGGGTAGGTGATTCATCCCCTTCGCCACTTGTCAACTTAACAGTGTCGTGAACCAAACTTGTTGTGCAACAAACCTTGCTTGATAAAGTTTGACATGCGCATTGAGTTTAGTAATAAAATTATTTTTTGCGATATTCCTTCGGCTATGATGTTCTACGAATTTACGTTAAATAATTTGTGCCTATTATAGTTTGTTGTTGGCAAAATGACCCTGCGTTTAATATTATGTAGTTTCTGTTATTTCACTTTACTACAACCTCTTCACTATATTACTAACAACACAACATACATTTATCGTTTCTCACTTTTGATATGTTTTATTTATTTTATTTATGGTTCTTTATTATTATTATTATCATTATTATATTATTATTATATTTATAATTTGTATTTTTTATTATAAATCTTATTTATAATTGTTTATTATAAATTTTATTTACTATGAATTATTATTATTACTATTATTATTATTATTATTATTATTATTATTATTATTATTATTATTATTATTGTTGTTGTTGTTGTTACATTTTCGCTCCCAGGCCCTGATGTGGGTCAGTGACCTGTGCCATGCCAGGGTGGGCTAATCCCCAAAAAAAAAAAAAAAATATATATATATATATATATATATATATATATATATATATATATATATATATATATATATATATATATATATATATATATATATATATATATATATATATATATATATTGATAAAATCACACGGGAAAATGGAAACAACGTAGTACCTTAGCTTTCGTCTTTATTCAAGACATCTTCAGAGGCAACGTTTTCATTGTGGATTTACATGAAATATATATATATATATATCATAAAAAATAATTAGTATTTGGATGTTTAGATTCGAGATAGGTTATATTGGGTAAATTTTAAGTTTTGGTGAGCCCTGTACTTAGACATGCAGACTATGTTTTTTCTGGTGGTTTGTGATGTGTTATGAACGATTTAGACCTTCATTTCTATCGGAAACCAATAGTTTTGAGTTACTACCCCCCCCCTCCCACCCCTTACCGATGTATGTTCAGCTAACCTTATAACTTATAATATAACTCATCATACCCTAACCTAACATATGACCTGTATTTTCTTATGCCATAGAAAAAAATTTGGCGACAGAAGTCCCATAGAGATAATGTGTCTTATTGTTTAAAGTACTTAATGCCATAGTTAGAATCTTAAGGTTCACCAGATGACCAAAACCAAAATAATACCAATATTGTTTGGATTGTTTATATTATGAAATTTGTAGTAGGGGCAGTTAATATCCATTGAATTAGTTAATGTGTGGGGTTATGAGATATTGGTACACACTCAGGATGGGATGGAGAAAGGAAACTTACAATGTGCTCTCTGTATACATATTGTATTGGATGTACAATGCAGCTTGGTGCTGGGGGGTGGCAGCGTGAGTCCAAGTGTGGTGTACTGTAGAGAGAGCTGGTTGGTGAGGGTGCTCAGAGGAAGGCAGGCAGCTTGTAGGGCGGGAGCCGCGAGGCAGGAGTGGAGGAGGTGTTGTTGCTGGCTGGTGGCTGTAGGTAGAAAGAGCCAGGTCACTGCCACGTGAGGTCTTATATAGCGGGGGTAGACGTGATTTGATAGTTTACCTCCGCTATGTAAGGTGGCACTGGTTGCCGACCATGACCACGAGGCGCAGGCTGGGGAACTCAAAGAGGGTCGACTAGTCAGCAACACACGGCGATTGTAGAGGAGGAATCCACCACAATTGTGTTGAGTAATATTTATTTATTCAATATAGCGTTGCTGTGTTGCACATTAAAGCACAATTAATTATCTAATATTTATTTACAGAGCCGATCAGCCGAGAAGGTTGGACAACTACTTCCAGGGTTCATCAAGACAAATGAAAGAAATTTACCAAAGATAGATGTGTTTATGATAGTAGAGTATTATCAAGAACTCCACCATCCAGCTATGAAGTGCGTTAAATTACATCTGTCATCTGATCATCTCAAGCCCATCCCCTGGCCATGGTCGTCCCTAGGCCGTCCACAACATTAAATATAGACATCAGTGACGAAAACTTACATTTTCCAGACATGAAATAGAGAACAGTGATGAAAACTTCCATGTTGGAGTTATCGGTCTTTTGCATCATTCTGGCACCCAGCAAGTAAATACACACGGTGATACTTGAGCAGTAATTTATTTTAACCTAAAATAAGGTATGCCTGTGTATATCAACATTGTATATGGATGGCCACAAGTCCTGTATTTCTGGTGGTAACAGCACACACACACACCACAGCTGGCTGCCTCCAGGCTCCTGCTCGGCGGCTCGAGCCAACCTGTGACGTCACAACCAATCACAGAGCTTTTCGCAGTCACGTGACGTTTTAGCTACTTTAACTCTTATTTTTCACACTTTTTGGCCCATTTTATTAAAAAATGTCATTATCATAGTGAATTTAAGCGTTTTCTTTACCCATTGACCTGCCATCTTACGAAAATATTCCAACCGACAACTCGTTTATTAAGTGTTGATAATGTAGTGGACGTCTCCCCTACAAACTGCGTAGCACCGCCACCACCTGCTATCACATTCCAACGTGCCGTTGCCTAGCAACCAAGCGAGAGCTGTCCCCAGATGTTACCGTATCTTAGCAACGAAACTATTCACCGGCGACTTCTCGGGTTTTCCCAACATGACTCATAGCGGCTGCTGGGTATATAAGCTCTGTCTCTCCATTGAGATTCATTCTGCCCATTTTCCTGAACAAGCAACACCTCCTCCAGCAAGCTCCTAGCTGTTAACATTTATTCAACCAGGAGGCCAGCAACAGGCAACATCTTCTCTAACGAAGCTCCTGCACATCTACCTCCTTCAACACGCTACTCACCGAACGTCTTCTACTGAGCAGCTCCCCACCACACGGCATCTCCAGCACCAGACTGTCTTCATATAACTTATATATTATACAAGAAAACCACATTAGAGTTTCCTTTCCATCCTGAGTGCTAGACAACATTAATATCTCGATACCCCTACAATGGTGACTCCCGGAGATAAGCACTCACACAGGATGGAGGACGGACGGATCTCTCTGCCGACTTTCAACCACAACGTCGAGGACTGGCTTGACCATGTGGAAGCAGCCCTCGCCGGCTCACGAGCGACCGACGGGCAAAAGTATTGCGCCCTGCTCTGTGCCTTGCCCACGGAAGTGGCCACGCGGGTCTCCCAAACCATTTCCAACCCTCCAGATCACAACAAATTCGCTACCCTGCGGGCTGCCTTGAAGACGTGTTATCAACAGACCAGCCCCAATCTCCTGCAAGATCTATCCTCTACCTCCCTCGGGAACTCAACCCTGGGACGTCTCTGGGAGGAGATGTGTCGGCTGAACTCCCGTCACACAGACAGACTCCTCGACTCTATCCTGCGCCAGCTTCACGCACAAAAGCTACCCACAGAAGTACGCAACATCCTGTCCGCAGTAGATTACTCTACGACACCGGAACTATATGCAACCGCGGCAGATAGAATTTTTAACGAGTGCGCTGCTGCACCCCTTGCCTCCACGGTCACACCAGTACCTACCATCGAACTTGTAAGCCGGGTCAACACCCCTCAGCCGAGCAATACCTCACAAGACATCAAGGACCTGTTGCAAATTTTGAACCGCAGGATGGACACCATTGAGCAGTTCTGCTCCTCCATACCCGCTGCTGCGCCGGTTCCTGACTCACACACTACGCCCTACAAGTTCCGACACACAGCAGCCAACCCCCAGCACAACAAATTTACCCTCTGCTGGTATCACCAGACTTTCGGCCGCAATGCTCGAAACTGTGAGCCCTATTGCACCTATTCGGGAAACGGCAACACCGGAGGCTGGTAGACGCCTCAGCCTCCGTCCCTCCAGGCGTCTCATTACTGCGCACCACCGACCGCACCTCCGGCAAGAAGTTTCTCATCGACACCAGTTCATCGGTCAGCCTCATCCCTCCCTCACTACGAGACAAGTCAAAGCAACCCTCGCATGACCTGTTCGCTGCCAACGGTACCTCCATCGCCTCCTACGGCGTACGCACCCTCGCCTTAGACCTCGGTCTCCCCAAGACTCTGCGTTGGTTATGCGTGATAGCAGACGTGTCTCAACCCATCCTTGGTTTCGACTTCCTCACCTTCCACAAGCTCGGCGTCAAACCAAGTCATCTATGCCTCATTCATGAGCCTACAGCACGCAAGATCCAGGGTTCTCGTGCCAGACACA